TGGGGGTGGGGGTGTCCAGAAAAGCCCAGATGTCTGTATCTAACACTGAGAAGTGATGGTGGGAGCTGAGTACTGGTTGCTCTGTAGATGACTTTACTGAGAAAGACCGAGTCCAGGGCCAACCTTAACATATGATCAGGACATACACTCCTGGCACCACACACTTCCTCATCTTCTTCCCTCCCTGGTGGTAAAGAACAAAGCAGGCCTGAACTTTGTGGTGTGTGGTTGGTTACTTCACTGACTTCCCTGGCTAACTTGTTTCTACATGAAATGGGAATTATACAAGGTTCTAAAAGTGTCCTGGTTGGTTTGGCTCAGCGGTTAGAGCATGGGCCTATGGACCCAAGGGTCTTGGGTTTGATTCCCAGCCCTGATCAGGGTCGTGGGGGAGGCAACCAATCTCTCATCGATGTTTCTCTCTCTCTCCCATCTAAAAATCAATGGAAAAATATCCTTGGGTGAGGATTAGCAAAAATAAATAAGTAAATAAATAAAGGAACAAAAGGCACGGCATGCCCTAAAGGCCCTTACATGGACATGAGGTGCTAAAACAAAATTACACAGTGGCTTCCACACACCAGACCCCTCCCTCAGCCTCTCTCTTCTTTAACCCTCCTAATAGCTCTGCATTATCATCCTGTTCCACAGATGAGGAATTTGAAGCTCAGGATTTAAGTGCCATTAAGTGCCAACTGATGAAGGTCACAAGACATAGTGGGGGACCTGGCTGGGTTTTAGATCCAAACACCCTGCCTCCAAAGCTGGAATCCTCATGCACCCTTGCATGCAAGTGTTCCTGAAATGTCTGTGTGTTCAGCATGACAGGCACAGAGTGGGGCAGCAGGGAAACCTTGGTAGAAGCAGTTGAAGCTCAGCTCTGACAGAGCAGAGAGAAGAGCTGACACATCAGTGAGGCTGGAGTGTGTGTGTGTGTGCATGCACACATGCGTGTCCAAAGTCTCCAGCTTAGCTGACTGTGTGGACTGTGGCAGAAGATGTGAGCCCATGCTCATGTGCCAGCCAGCGGCCAGTGTCTGCACCTCTGCCCTCCCTAAGCTTTTCCTCATGTAAGGGGATATGGGAGGTCTTCATACTCACATGCCATGTCAAAGCAAGAGGGAAAGCAATAAAGTTTCCAAAAAGTATAAGAAGTTGTGAAACAATGGCTTGTAGGTCCAAGATATCAGTGTCTCTCCAGGACAAAGGACATAGTAGGATGCTGAAAGGTGGGGAGACCAACCAGCCCATGAGATGTCAGATTCCCACCTCTAATAATAATTCTCCATCTAAGGCAGTTCAGTGGGGAACATGATGGAGGACTGTCTGTGCACCAACACTCAAACCTCATCACTACTGTCCTTTGTTTAAATTCCAAAGCTCACAAGATAATCTAAGTAGAAATTCACCAACTGCAAAGAGGACTATCCCAAGCAGAAAGGGCCATTAGAGAATTGGGATAGGCTGAATTCTTGAATGGAAGCAAGAGGAAACATTTGGTCTGAGAGACAAGAAGCCAGGATGATAGTGTCAAATTGACCTGGGAAAAGAGGCTCTTGATGGAGATTTCATGGGAGAGATTATGGGGGAATAAGGACAGAAGAAACAAGGAGACTGATTCCTGAGATAAAATGGATTATGGGAAAATGGAAGAAATAGGGAGATCTGGTTATAGGATAAGAGAGAATAGAAGGGGCAATACTGTATCCTGTCCACCCCTACCACTTCCAAAAGATGACTAGAGATATACGGTGAAGGAGGTGAAAATTATTCTAGGTAACTGCCTTCCACAACTATGCCCAAGATAACCTGACATTTTTATTTATTTTTTTACAATTTGGAAAGAATTCATGCTCTGAACTTCAGACAGATCTTGGTTTGAAACCATCAGAAGTAAAAGCAATGTTTTAAATCAATGTTGTTTCTATTTTCCACCTTCCCTCCTCCCAACATTTCCTACTCCCATGGAGACCCAGAAATTCAGCTCATCAAGATCAAAGAAAGGAGGAAAGACGAACACAATCATTACTGAGCAATGTGTGTGAAGTGCAACTTTTCGTTAGCCACTTATAATTACTTCTGGAAAAAAGAAGGGTATAAATAAGTTAAAATGCACTCACAACATTTGATCATGTCTGTCACTGGTCCTGGCTAAGTGGCCTGAGCATCCTGATGCACCTGTGAAAAAGTGCTCATATGAGAAGGCCAATGGCTGTCTTGTGGGAGGGTCAAGCAGAGGGCAGGACTAGTGCTTTTAGTGGAAATGAGAAGGGAGAGGAATTCTGGCTTACTCCAAAGAGGAAATGTCTTACCAGAGAGGCTCTCTCACAGGGCACTGAATTCCCCTCCCTGGGGATTTTCAGCAGAATCCAGATAGTCCTTGGCTGGTCAGATGCTGTGGAAGCAGTAAAGTACTGGGCAAGTAATCACAGGCCTGCCAATCTATACTCAGGCAAGCCCTTCTTGCTCAGGACTTCTGTAGCTTCCCCTCACATATCAAACTGGGGAAATAATCCCTCTTTCCTCCTCATAACAATGTGATGACAAGGACTGGCTCAACACAAAAGCCTGGACACTTCACGTAATGTAAGCACTACACAAATACAACACAACCCTGTGGTACTTCAAGTGTTTCAAAGCATTCCCAGGCCTCCTAAGTCGGATGGCATCCTGGGAACCACACCTACCTGAGGGATTGCTGTGACCCCAGTACCTAAGCAATAACTGACAACAGGAATCTGCTGGGCGAAGCTAGGAGAGGTGACATGCCCCTTCCTGAAATCTGGACCTTCTATAGTAGAAATCTGGCCTCAAAGAGGGCTTCCCCAGGCATCAGACCAAGGAGAAGGAACAGCTCAGGACCAGTGATTCCACCCAAGCCTGCCTGCTCAACCTCAGGAACTCCTATGGCAAGGAAGGAAGGAGGGGGGAAAAGAAACTGAAACATAAATACAGGCTTTTCAGAAACAGTCACAAATACAGGATTTTCAGCTTGCAAATGACCTTAGTTATTGTTGCCAAGCCCACATGTTTACACAGCCAGTCAGAGGCAGAGAGATGCTAGAAGCCAAGCTTCCTGCCCCTCTCCCAGGCCACCATACCCTACTGTCTGTCAAAATTCCCATCACCGCCCTGGCTGGTTTGGCTCAGCAGTTAGAGCGTCGGCCTGCAGTCCAGAGAGACCCAGGTTTGGTTCCCACTAAGGGCATGGTACTCGGTTGCAGTTTGTCCCCGGCCCTGGTTGGGTCATGTGGGTGGCAACCACTTGATGTGTCCCTTTCATGTTGATGTTTCTCTCTCTCTCTCTCTCTCTCTCCCCCTCCCCCCCTCCCTCCCACTTTATCTGAACAAAAAAATGGGAAAATGTCCTCAGGTGAGGATAAAAGAATAAATAAATAAATAAAATTAGTCTGCTATTGATTTAAAAAAAAATTCCCATCACCTCTCTTTTCTCCCAATACTGTACTTTCTCCTTAGCTGTCACTGAGAAAAGCTGGCATCTTGGCCCAGGTAAATTGGAGTTCCAGGAAGGAATAGGTAGGAGGTGAGAAGGTAACTCTGAACAGGTCTTCTTTAGGTGGGTATAGAGCCTGTGAAAATATAAAGAACTAAGAGATGGCAGTCAGAAAAACTGTCATCTTAAAGAGCAGAAGGATATGGCACAGGAAGGAAAGGCCCAGTGCTCATTCCAAGAAATGGAGCTCCATCTCCTAACCGAACACTTGGCACTAGAGGCCTTGGGACTTAAACTTTCCTTCCCCCTCTTGAAGAGGCACACTTGCCACACTGAATGGAGGACCCTGAGGGCCAGAGTCCCTCAGTGTAAGTTCTTGAACCCATACACCTTTCCACAACTTGATGACCCCAGGTATTATTTAATAACAACAAGGTGAGACAAATTAAGGGTAGGCTTTTAATTAAGGCCATCTAAGGCTTTGCCAGCACACTAATTCAATAAAAGAACAGAGCTTTTCTTTATGTAACAATTATACAAGCATATTAAACAATGTCAATGTTACTGTATTATCTGTACATGGCCCTGGACACTTTTCAAATCTATCATTTCCTTTACTCCTTATAACAACCTGTGAGGGAGGGGATTGGAAAACTAGTTATTCCCATATTACAGGTGAAGAGAACAAAGCACAGATTAACCAACATATATATCTAGGGTTGTACAATAAGAAGTCAGAGCACCCTGCCCGGTTTGGCTCGGCGATCAGAGAGTCAACCCGCGGACCAGAGTCCTGGTTTCGGTTCCTGCTAAGGGCACTACCTCGGTTGCAGTTTGTCTGGCCTCGGTTGGGGTTGTGGGGGTGGCAACCAGTCGATGTCTCTCTCTCACATCAATGTTTCTCTCTCCCTCCTGCTCTATCTGAAGATAAATGCAAAAAGTGTCCTCGGGTGAGGATAAAAAAAAAAAAGAGAGCTAGAACACCAATCCTACTGATGCCCAATCCTGTGCCTGTTCCTCTGCTCTTTCCATTAGGTTTCATGGCCTAAACTCCCCTTTAGGGGAAAGAGGTGAGACAATTTAGGAGGTTATAAAGATCATTTCCAACCCACCCCTTCAAGGCAGTTCTACTCAGCTCCTAAAAATATAACAGCCTGCCTCTGCCTGGGTAATCCACTCTCAAGTCTTAGTTTAGCCCCAACTAACTTGGAATCCTACTATCTCAGTGCTGGAAAGGCCCTTACAGATAACCTCATCCAATCTCCCTTCAGAGGGCTGAATTCTTTTCATGTCTCCTTCACCTAACCTCATAATTGCCATTGCTCACAAGCTCTTACCAGGTACTCCTTCCTGGGTGAGGAGTGGCTGAGAACAAGTCTATACCCTGAAAGAGTGAAGGAGAGGTGAAGCTTCCTGTGTTACCCAGCAGGGTAAGGGTACTCATCAGGGTACTTCCTGAATGGCAGCATCCCCAGACTTTCCCCACTCAACACTTTCTGCAAAGGAGCAGCAAGGCACCAAGTGGTAAATCAGATAGGAACCTTACCTTTCTTCTCCTCTCTTTGCTGCTCCCCTGGAGATCATCAAATTCCCATCCAGCACTCCATTTCCAAAACTGAGAATCCCAAATCAGACACCAAAGTGCAGCTTCTCTCCTCTTATTGGAGTCCAAAGTCCATGGCTGAATGTACTTTGAGGGGGAGCAGTCTGGGGGGGAAGGGGTATGTCCAGTCCCCCCCCCCCCCCCACTGCAGGCTTCAGTGTCCCTCTCAGAGGTCTGTTACATCCCTTCATTCAGCTGGCTTAAGCCCAGAGTTTGGTGATGGGCAGATCCCAGGCACTATCCCATCTCTTGCTCTGGGAGGGGAAGTCATCCACTGAGGACTGGCCCATCTGTCTTCTGCTGGGGCTCATGAGAAGAAACAGGCCTTAGAATCGGCATGGCCCAGGAGGCTGCTTTCTGTGTTAACCTGCAGAATATTTAAACATTATGACACTCTCCAATCTATTATACTCCCAAACGGATTCCTAAGACTATCTATTTAAATTAGATTCCTTTACTATGCTCTACCATGAAAACCCCATCCTTAAACACTCCACAAGATACCTTAAGTACTTACTTCACTCACATACTGTCCCACAAAACAGTCACCTCATCAATATGGCTCAAGATAAAGGAAGGTTTGCACTTACTCTCACAACAGAAAAGTAATCAAAAGCACTGACGGTGTGTGGAGACTGTATTCTAAGAAATGTGGAAAAGAACATGCTCCTCCTGTCCCCTTGTCTTGTTAGTGCCACACACTAATTATCCTACATCGCCCAAGCTTCTTAAGGTGTTCAGTGTTCTAATGGCTAGCTCTCCTCCACTGACCTAAATCCATCCCAGACCTAAATACTGGCACCTTCCACATGTATTCTTTGCTACCTTCCCTTCACCCTCAACTCCCCCTCTGCTTCCAAAACTGTGCCAGGGATATAATTCCTAATCGCTGTCAAACTCTTTCCAGGGACCACTCCCAAGACACGTTCCTAGAATGTTTGAGGTCCGAGTTCAGCCAGCAGTAACCTCGCGGTATTCCAGTTCCTCAGTCCAGGAGCTCACCCTGTCGCCCCTCCCCTCTAAGTTTAACGCTAAACACATACACACACACACACACACACACACACACACACACACTCATTTCCTTCCTGTAGGGGCGTGGCGTCCACATGACCTCTTACCCCCGCCAAGAATTTAACTCCTCCCACCCCTCTTCTCGGAAATGCCGGGCTCCGTGTTCACCCGGAAGGGGGTGACAGCGACCCTCCTCCCTAGACTCTGACACCCACCCCCTCCACCGCCAGACGACCCTCCCTCTATCTGCGTTGGGTTGTTACCTAGAACCTGTTCACCCCGTCTTGACAGGAACAGCGTCCCGTCCCGGGTCGGAATCAAGGCCCCACTTCGGGTCCCCACAGCCGGCCCAGCCCCACCCCTTCGACCCTCAGCAGCCGGGCCCTCCCCTCGCGCTCCTTCCACCCGCATCCACCGCAGCCACTTCCGCCCGCCCTCCGGAAGTGAGCCCGCGGCAACTGCTACCTCCCATTATCCCGCCTTATTCTTTCCCACAACCCCAACCCATCACCACCAACACGGGAGCATGGGACGTGGGTCTGCAAGGGCTTGAGGTTATTCTACAGTCACTGTACACAGGACTGAAGACCAGGTGTGGACAGGGCCAGGTCTGGGTGAGAACAGAGCTAGGAGAGGCTGTTGCTGGCGCGCAAGAAGGGGCGGGACAGAGAGTGTGGCGAGGGCGGGAGAAGGCATTACGTCGAACCGGGCGGGAAGAAGGGTGCATGCGTCACGATGCCTCAGCCTGTCGCGAGCGTTTGTACTAGGACGGCGTGGCCCCGCGGGATTTTGACGGGGAGGAAGCAGGGCGCAGAGGGCGGAAGTGAGAGCGGAGCCTGCGAGGGGTGGGCTAGTCCCTTTCCCTCAACTCGTTGTAATATTGCTTAGTGAGCTTCCGCTTAACTCTGCTTCTGGGCAGGCTGCTCCTCTCTCCCGCTGGCGGTCTCCTGGCAACAAACAAGAAATTATTAAGGCTTGTGTTTACTGTTCTTTTGCTGAAACCTTTGTGGCAGTACTTTTGTTCATCGATTACTTTCTCGCTGCACCTCTCGCTGTGGCAAGAGAGAAAACGGTGAGAGTACTCAAAATTTATTTCAAGTGCCCCTCTCCCCCACCGCAGGACAGCCTTTCTCTGTCCACGCGCAGTGGGAGCCAGCAGAGATTTGCTGGTGGTTAGGTGACTAGCAGGCCCTACTGGCAGAACGGGAGCCTCTCCTAGGGGTTGGCGACCATGTCTGAAACGCCGTTTCCTGTCCCCTGAGACTTGTCCCCTCTGAAGAAACCTTTGCCATCCTTCAAACATTGGACTTACAAGTTCTGACATTGCACTGGTTGCTTTTTTCCCCTAAATATGTGGGCTGACTTGTCCCTGACTTAAAGCTTAATCCAAGAGGAGTTACTGCTAATTTTTGGAGTTCATATGTCATCCATGTAATGACATGTTTTAGCATCTTGCCAGAACTATGGATGGATTTGCAGGTTGTTTTTCCCCCCCTTTTAAAAACTGGATCGTAGATTTTTGTCAGATTTTCTGTGATGTGATTAATTTTGTATTCGAAAAAGGGATCACATGCTAAACCCGACAGGCTCAGAGGAGGCCTGCATGGTGGCTTTACAAACTCAAAGACCTAGAGAAACCACATAGGATGGTCTGAAATTAAAACTTTTAAAAGCAATTCATGGCAGATAGTTATGTCCTAGGCCCGTGTTTTAACCTAGCAAAGGTCAATCTTTACTTTAACTGAGCCTTTTTTTTTTTTTAATCAATGTTAACATACCTTTGGAATATCAAAGTAATTTCCTTTCCCCACCCCTCAAAGCAGGAGCCAGAGTAGAGACCATAAATCCCCTCATTCTCATTATCATGTTACTTGTTAACAACTATCCTGTACCCAACTTGACAAAGAAAGTATGTGTCTATTCCTTTTTTCACTTTTTTTTTTTTTATCCTCACCCCAGGACATTTTTCGATATTTTGTTCAGATAGAGTGGGAGGGAGAGAGAGAGAGAAACTTTGCCGTGAAAGGGACACATCTAGTCATGGGTAGCCACCCACACGACCCAACCAGGGCCAGGGACAAACTGTAACTGAGATACGTGCCTGTAGCGGGAACTGAACCCAGGTCTCTCCCGACCGCGGCCGACGCTCTAACCACTAAGCAAACTGGCCAGGGCCCTTTTTTTTACTTTTTATCCAATCCCAGATATCCACACACCCCCGCTTTGCTTTCTCCCACCTTCCTAATCTATCAGCAATAAATTTTATGTAACCCCATTATATTAGATGTTCCCCTTTGATTCCGAGGTATAAATTAAGTAGTAAAACTGCCATTTTCCAGATCATTTTCTCACTGCGTTGAGATTTTGCTTTCTGGCAGTTGTCATCAGTTTGGCTCAAATAAACTTATAAAAAATTCTTACAGGTTTGGACGTTTCTTACATCAACAATTTTAAGAAATATATATTTGGTCTTCACCCATGCCACCCACCCTTCCTGTTTCTGGCATAGAACTCCTAAAACCCTTGGAATTTCCTAAGGGATAAGAGCACTAGGAGTGCCCTGGGCCGTTTGGCTCAGTGGTCGAAGTGTTGGCCTGTGGACCAGAGAGTCCCGGATTCAATTCCCCCTAGGGGCACGTACCAAAAAAAAAAAAAAAAGAGCACTAGGAGTATCGTTTGTTCTAATATTTGGTTTTAACTGCTGTTCCTGACACAGTGCTCCTTAAAACCTTGTAATTTCTGGGTAATAATGTTATCAGTGGAAGTGGGGTGTCCACTGGTAGTGAAAGGTTAAAGTCGGTGGTGCACAGGCAGGCTAAATAACAATCTCAGATGGTGAATAAAGAAGAATTGGATTTATTTAAATAAAAGAGGATGGGGATGGGGATATCCAAAGGGAAGGACCACATATCACTGAGCCATGTGGTATTGGGTTGATGATGGCAGCCTCTAGGTGCTGGAGTTTCATCCTTATATGCTGCCACTAGGAGCTGGAGTTTTGTCCTTATAAGCTGCCACTGGCAGGAAGTTTTTGTTGTCAGTGGGTTTTGGGGGCTTGGTTGGTGGGTTTGGGCAGTGGAGTTGGGTCTACAGTAATGCAGATGTGTGATTGGGTGCTTCTTTGCAGTTTTAGTTCCTTATATGGTTTGATTCCTGGTGTCCAAGAAGTCCTCCTGGTCTTTGTTCTCTGGTGATGGGGAAGCCTACAAAATGGCTGTTTAAGAATTATATTGCCTTGTAAGTCTTAACATTTTCCTCCTGTTGTTAGTAATTAATCTTATGGAATTGGGAAGGAGGTCTCCTTTTTCTGTAGCTGCTTCATTCTGCTTTGTGGGCATAGAGCTGTCCCTAAGCTGTGTTAGTATGTTGGGGAATTGGTCATGGCTATTTGTTTGCCTATAATAGTATGTATATGACTTTGGAGAAAGGAAAGGAGGGCGCAGATGGATTTCCAAAGTGAGACCTATATTGTGTAAACAATCAGATATTTAATAAGAAGTATGTCTATGAAAACAAGAAAAAAACAAAGGTTAAATTCTGTGTGGTTGACATTGTATCAACAGTTTTTAATAGTTCCAAGTTAAAGGATGGGAGAAAAAAAATGAAATCTTAGTTTTCAGGGTTGAAGACAACTAGAAGAATTCAGGAATCAGTTCAGTTTATAGGTAAAAATAAAACTTTAGCCCTGGCCAGTTTGGCTCAACAATTTGAGCGTTGGCCTGCGGACCAGAGAGTCCTGGGATTGGTTCCCGCTAGGGGCATGTACCAAAAAAACAACATCATTAGACTTTGAAGACAATCAACTGTGCTACAGTACAATATTCACATTGTGATTTTCACTGCAACAATTTTTCCCCCATAAGGTTACTCTCCTGTTAAAGGGACTGTTAAGTCTAGGTATAGTTTGGCTTGTTTTTTTGCAATAAATGCAATAAGACTTAGTTATGGATCAAACTGATTGCACAGGCTTTCTCAAATTTATTTGGCTGGAATGTGAGTTATTCATAAGGAATCTTTAGATTAAGCTGTACAGAGCAGTCAGCTGTCAGCTTCTCAGGGTGGAAAAGCCAAAGTCATAATTGCCATCAGGCTGTGCCTGGAATACCTGCAGATTTGGGTCATATCCTCAGGTCCTTGAGGTTGCTAATGTGTTGACGCTCCTTTTCTGCCATCTTTCAAGAAAGCAACCTTCATTCTTTACCTGGAAAGATTGCCATGAACCACTGACCAAGCCATTTCCTGCAAGTGGCTTCTTATCAGCTTCAATCAGTCTTGAGAGTTAATCTTAATTCCTTAAGGTTTTTTGGTGACATCTGGAGTCCAGGCATGTCTCTCTTGACATGACATTCCAGTCAAAGACTTGGTTAATAAAACCATAATAGGAACCTGGTTTCATGTGTTCTATTATAAAGAGAACAGATTCTTATTGGATTTATGCAAATATATTGTTATGAAAATAATACTCATTGAGAGTTGCCAAATTTTGGAGGGATTAGGTAAGAAGAAAAATATAGATGTTTCAATACTGCTTATGAGGGGGGTATAATTAACCAAATTGTTTTAGGGAACTTAAAAATAAGCTTATATCTGGAAAACAAAAATTTTTTTCCATGAAATCAGTTATTTCTTGAAGTTTTATAAATCTTTATTTACTTCAAGGAGATAACCTGCTTAGAAATCTGTAATTTAGAGTAAGTCAGAGTCCTTTTCATGAACCTTTCCAAAGATATAACATATTTACAAATGCATTAGAGTAAAACAATGACTATGTATAAAAAACTTAAAATGACATGGTTGTAGACTTGATTATAATACAACTGATAAAAAACTTTGCTTTTTTGTAAGATGCAACATTCCAAGATAGCAATTTCTTGGTAAATAATAATTATTATGAAATGGCATAAAAGAACAGTACAAACCTTACATTTTAATATTCAATAC